TAACCGCCGATACTTGCCCAGAAACGTAGGTGGATTCAGGGGATGGCCTTCCTTGTTCTGCTGTGCTGGTCGATATACCTTCTGTTTCTCTTTGGCGTACCCACGCATACGTAGGGAGAGTTTGTGGGTGCAGTTGGCATCCTGCCCGTCGACTCAGCCAAAAGCTTGCATTCGAGTGACTGGAAAGTATATGGAAGGCGATTCGGGGCGGCCTCAAATCACAAAGTCCCTCGTCCAAGCTTCGGGATAGCCTGGCAAGCCTCCGGAGTAAATCCAGCCACCACTCAGAGCCTGGCAAGCTAGACGTTGGGTATCCACTTGCCAAAAACAATAATAGAAATGAGCCTCATTCCCCTGAGCCTGAGGAAGCCCCCAATAGGGCGCGTTAGGACCACTCGGGAGAGGTTGCTGAAATCTCAGGGCCAAAACAGGGCTGCCTAAAGGAGAAGGACTAAGATGGCGATTTGTTCTTGACGCACGGACGCTTGCATCTGAAGCGTGTATAGAAGACCTGATGATGCAAATTAGGAAGATCAAGTACGACGTCATTGGACTGAACGGGACGAGAAAGCATCGCCCGCTGCATTTACTTTGCCTACAGGCCAATATAGAGCTACGAAGAAGAGGAGTTGGAAGCGTTTTATGTGGATCGGGAGAGGGTCTACAGAGAAGATCACATTTTCTTCAAGGTCATCGTCGATGCTTTCAATGCCAAGATTGGCCCCAGAAGAACGGCTGAAGAACTCCACATCGGCATTTAAGGAATGGAATGGAATGAGCAGGGTGGAAGGCTGTTCGAGTTCATCATGACGGCCCACACCATCCATGGTAACTCACAATTCCGGAAGCCCTCTAATTTGCGATGGAAATGGGAGTCACCTGGTGGACAGTTCCATAATGAAATAGACCACATCATCTTCAATTGGAGATTTTGCTCTACTCACGTCACTGTTGTTCCGAGGTCCTACACGGGATCGGACCATCGTCTCCCCCGCGCTAGATTCTGCTTCTGAGTGCATGGAGAGAGCTATGAAGTTCAGGAAACGTAGCCCCAAGACCTCCATCAACTGAGATCGCATTCTTTGCGAGTGAATGGGAAGATTCCGTATTGGACAACATCGATGAAGAATACAGCCGGCTCGTTGAACATCTTCACGATAGCGCTAAGAAAGCAGAGTGTCTATAAGTAATCAAAAGACGACTCTCTTCGAAGACTCTCGAACTGATACGCCAGGGTGGAATCGCGCTAGCTACTGGCAATCATCAATAAGCGTCCGAATTGCGAAGTATGCAGAGAAGGGATAAAGGAAGATCTGGAACAGAGAAGAGCAACAGTAATGGACGAAGCCGCCGAGGCTGGAAAGAGCATCTGCAAAGCCCAACCTAGCTTCGCCGATTGCAAGATCAAGAAGACTACCTAATAAGAAGACTGGCGGAACAGTTATTGCATCTCGAAAGGCAATGGAGAAGGCCATCTACGACTTCTAGTGGGATTTCGTCGACAGCCACGTCTACCTGCCTACCCACCATGTTAGGCGAGATGAATATATCGCTCCTTCAGTTCTCACTTCTGAAATACAATATGCCATCACGTCGATGAGAATTGTACGGCCCCCAGTCCTGATAGTGGACGATAGGATCAAAGCAGAACACCTGAAGAGTCTTCCACCCGTCATCGTCAGAACTCTGGCTAGGCTCTTCAAGCGGTACCTGTCGGAATGCAAAATGCCCACATCGTGGAAAACTAGCAAGACTGTGTTGTTGTATTAAAAGGGGAGATCCAGACGATGTTGGCAATTATCGCCCAATCTGCCTGTTGTCTGTAATCTACAAGCTTTTCACTCGTGTCATCCTTGGGAAGCAAGCAGGGTTCCGGAGGGGGTTCAATATAATTGATCATATCCCCACTCTTACAAGTCTCACTGAATTATCACGAGAGTACAAAATGCCGTTATGTAAATGTAATCACCTCAAAACATCGTGCTTATAACACCGAACATCGAGCAGGCGGATCGAATGCTGGCCGGGTTTGACAATGCTTGCGCAAAGATCGGCTTGAGACTGAACTTGACGAAGACGATCATCGTGTGAAAGGGACGGGGTCCGATGCTCTTCTCACGCTCAACGGAACGAATATCTCCGAATGCCCTAGCTATGTGTATTCAGATCGGGAAGTCAACATGATGAACGACCTAGCTCCGGAGCTGTGCAGAAGGAAAGGCGCGGCGTGAGAAGCATTTAAGAATATCGAGGGAGTAGTGAAGAAGACAAAGAACATACGGCTCCGCGCTTACCTTTTCGATCCTGCTGTCCTTCCTGCTTTAACGTACGCCTCGGAGACTTGGACTCTACGAAAGCAGGATGAGCATGCTGTCAGCGTTACTAAGCGCGCTTTGAAAAGGTCGATGCTCGGAATTTCCCTATACACGCAAGTGCAGAAGGGAATCCGGAGTTCCGAGCTCGGTCAACGAACGACGATCAGGATGCCGTTGATTACGTCAAGGAAACGAAGATCAGGTGGGCCGGCCACATTATGCAATATAGTGATGACCGTTGGACAGGGGCAGTTACTGACTGGATCCCTCGGAAAATCAAACGAACACCAGGACGGCAGCCAACGAGATGATCAGACTTCTCCACGAAAGCTCTGAACGAAAGGAATGTTGAACCACGTGTTATTCAAGCGGGGACGATTCGTTGGACCGCTCTGGCTCGTGACAGGAACAAATGGAGACGTTACTGGCACCCGCTCGAGGAAGTAGATGATCAGCGGGACGACGGGTGATACAGGTGATATATATATATCATATACACACATATATATAAAAGTTAAATATATATGCACGGTGTCGCAAAAATATAGGTGCCAAAATTCAGAAATTTTTGGGGTAGAAATAATCTATCGAATTCACATTGCCTGCTAATAATTAGTTGCATAGGAAGGTCTCTTTGCAATATGCATGCTTACTAATGTGGAAATCCCAATATATTTCAGATGGAGTAGGCTTATTCAATGCCACTTGCAATCGTTGACACGCGAAAGGTGGAAGGACATTATGAAATTGCTTGGAATTTTTAGAAGAACCGTATAGGAGGCTATTAGACGATATGGAAAAGAAGATCGAATTAGAGGCAAATCAGGTAAGGTAGAAAGGTCGGTGTTTCTAAAGATGGGACTATTAAAATGGTCCGTCTGCCAGTCGGACGGTATCCCGGGTGACCCATCAAAAGGAAGTCAACCGGAAACGGCTTATCGGAGTTATCGCGATGGAAGAATGTCATGCAGAAGCTTCATTGCCATGCCTATCGTGCGCAGGAATTACGCTCCAACTACGATCTCAATAGACACTGCAGGACCAAAAAATGCTAAAAGTAGCAGTCCCACTTATGTGATGACACGCAACCCTTAATCGTTTTCTCTGGCCAAAATTTTTTTGCGATAAAAACCGTCCCTCAACAACCGAAACGTTCGCGTTCCGGGAAGAAACATCTAACGTACAATCACTAACAAAAAGGTTGCTATGAGAACAGTAAAATGATGTTTTCGAAGAAGTCACTGGTAAGGGTAAGACGTTTGTGGCTCCTTCGGTGCCAGCGTGAAAATTGACCAAGACGAGTACTCAAAGAGCGTGCTGATGGATCTTTGGTCCGACTACAATTCCTGAAACATCTCGTAGTTTCTCCAAGAGGTCTCTGCTTCAGCCCGAAGCCCTTTTCAAATGTTTTCGCGTCTGAGTGCTCTAGAGTGTTTCTAAAGGATTTTGAAAATTAATATGAAAGGGCTCGTGAAACGGTTCGTCATGAACTATGCCTGCCTGACGAGACGAACAGAATGTCCGTGGCTAGGTTTTTTCTGCTTCGTCATCAAAAGGAGTTATTGCGAGACATAGTGACCGGAGATGAGAGCTGGATGCTCCACGTGAACCATTCACGTGAGCACCACTGGGTTGCACTAGGAGGAAAACCACCTTTGGAGCCTAAAACAGATCTTATGAGAAAGTTTTACTGTGTTGCAGGTGGAACTGCGGTAAAGTGATCTACTGGGGCATGCTAAACAGTGCTATTACAGTGACGGCCACAGTCTACGCTAGCCAGTTGCAAAAACTGACCGCCGTGCGAGAGTTTCGCTTGAAAAAACCCAATGTCTCCTTACTCTGCGATAACGCACGAATGAATGTGGCAACGAAACGCGTCAAAAAATTATGAGACTCGGATACTAAGTACTGTTGCCGCCGGCTTACCTACCGGATCTAGCGCCCTCTGGTCATCACCATCTAAGTGGCAAAAAATTTGATGATCGTCGTCAACTCGAAAATGAAATCGACCGCTTTTTTTTCGTCGCAGCCACTGGAATTCTGAAAGAGAGGGATCGAGAAGCTGCCCGCAAGATGGGCGCATGACTTAGATAATAATGGTTGTTATATAGTAGATTGAAGGTTTCGTTTAAAAAAAANAAAAAAAATATAAAATTCAAAAATTCGTCCAAAGTGTTGCAGGACTTATCTTCCAACCTAACATATACATACATTTCCTTGCAGTCATAAGTCGAGGTATCGGGTGAATCTCTTATTTTACCTCCAGATCGACGAGCTTCTTACTTTTTTGCAAACGGGGCGGATTTCAGAGGTTTTACAGTATAGGCCCTGCGAACCTTCTCATTAGCTCGCATGATCGTCCCATCTTACCCTTCATCAAACCACCTTCATCACCATAAATACATATCTCCTTTGCCGGTGCACTGTCTACAGACCACCCACTGCCCTTGCAAATATCTTAAATGTTCTTTTCAAAACATATTCCATGGTTCTATGACCCTCGACCAATTGTACTTCACCCAGTCAGTACCACGAAACAGTTAATCCAATAAAAGGAGTATTCCTTTGCGGACGTGGAGGACATCCAGGTAAAAAAAACATACAGAAATTTGTATCATGTCTTTAATAAAATTTCACTTAACAGGTAGAGAAGTGACAGGAGATCCTGGCCTAATGGGAGCTCTGGCTGCTCTTCGTGGCTGGTCATCGGTTCTTTCGAACACTTTTGGTCTGTCCTGTCTTCTTTACTATAGTATCCCCTCCTAATTACCGATTATGACATTGTGATGTCGTGCGGTTAGGACTGTCATATTGCCTGTAACGTATCTGAGGCATCAATGAATATAAGCATTCTTACGAACATTACCGTCATTTTGCCCCTTTTCGCGTCAGCTTTGCAATTGTTCTAGTAGGTAACACTGAATACAGACTGAAGTCTCTGAACCAGGTTATTTATGTTCTCCGAAAACCATCTTCATTTGTAATATGGATTACGTTTAAGTCGCCATCTTTAGACGAAATAAAAACGATAAAAAATCCAAAAATCAAATGACTTCGTTAATTTCGCGTAGGGCATCCTACCAAATCAGAATGAACTCGAAATCGCAAAAAAAAATACTTCCGTTCTCCACAACTAACAGTACATACATATCGACTCCATTCGGAGTAGGCATCCCCAAGACTTTTACGACAAACCTTTAAAAGTAGGAAAGAGGAGTATAGGAGGTTAACTATAGGGAACAGATGAGTCTGGGTTCTCGGTATGTCGTGAGGAGTGTTGATCAATGTGGAAGCCGACTTCTATAGAGCCGTTGCTTCGCTTAACCAGATGTTTCGAATGATGGCAGTCGCTGCAAGGGATGAAACTTGAAACCTAGTATTCACTTCAACTCCACCCGGTATAGCTAGATGTACCTTCTACCAGCAAGGTCAGCCTTCTCATGACAAGTAATACTCTCCAACGACTACGACGACTGTTTTCATTCACTACGTTAACTGCCAGTCTTTGTTGCCATCGTCTATCATGAGACTCATGAAACTTCATTGCAACCACTTCAACCTCCGAGTCCAGCATATATCTCAAGAATACCTGAATACGTTTCCGCAAGCTGGAGTATTCAGCCAAGCAGGCGATCGATCTACTCAAGAACGAACTTTTGTTCACTTCACACTGAAAATCAAAATCTCTTTTGTACTTTGAACTACTTACGTCTCGACGGGTCACCCAAGTTAACCCTACTGGAGAGACTTCACCCTCCAAGAGGTGTAACTATAGTGCGTTCTCACGAGCTCGTAACATTTCTCTTCCGCACATTTCCCTGCCATGACCTTCTAGTCGCCAATGATTCATTAATATGGGGTGAAAAACCGTAATGAGAGAAAGACCACAGCAAGCCATGCGTTAGTTCCGGCGCGCCAAGGGCAAAGGGCACGTCAGGTCCTATATCTGAACGGAAAGATAGCCAAGATATCCAAGCACTGATTCGTAAACAGCAGTGTAAACCTTGTTGCAACGACAATAGTTGAACGGCTATCTTTGGCATTCTAGTAGTCTATGCTGACAGAAATGATGCGCTAGCATCTCTATGATAAGCGCAGGCTCATCGCGAAAACGACGAAGGCACGGTTTCTCCCTCGGAACAACTTCAAGTGTCATTCCATGAAAAACCTGTCTTGATAAAGATTATGGAAATTTCTGTGGAAATGTTTGTTACGCGCGGTCTTTTATATTCCGTCGTGCGCTTCGAGGGAATGAATAGCAGGCGGTCTGGATCATGACGGAAAATCCTATAAAAAAAANAAAAAAAATTATTCAACGGTTATTATTTAACATTGTAGATCGGAGAGGATTGACGGAGCATTGGGTTGGTTAATTCAATCGCAGCTTCTGTTATCCACGCAGCCATCCATTGATGAAAACGTGTTAGAGTACTAATGAACACAAAGATTTTAGGGTAAAGAGCACAGGGCTCCGTTAACACAAGCACGGGGTCGAGTTCCGACTGATTGTGAGGTCGAAGTTTTGTACGTAATTCGCCAACGTTGTGAGACTTTCGGAGCGTGCACTACTTCGAAATAACGGGTGTTAACAAAACATCGAGACGAAAATTTTGCATTCTATCAAAACATCTTCGTACTTGAGCACATTAATGTGAATAAGTCATGGCTCGAAATGAGTCGTACCACCTGCGACAACACAAATTCGTCGATTATAATCATTCTTGAAACAACCTTTCGAAGAGAAAGCTATCTTAGGTGCGGAAAGAATGGCCTTTTGACAGATTGACTATTTCGAAGCAGGCATCGGCCATAGATTTCTAACCGATGGAAAGAGCTGTACCCAAAGCCTGCTTCCATTGTAGCTTGGCACTCACTAGTTTTGAATGAAGTTATTTTAACTAAGTTACAGTTAATTAAGTTACAAGTGGGTTGTTGAGTGAAGCGTTCAGTAGGATTTGCTCAGATCGACTTTATTCAAAAGCTATACCAGTTCCGTGGACTCTGGACTTGTTGCTCAATTTTTAATGCCCATTTGATAATTATTTGAGCAAACTCTCTCTAGAGATGCGAAATCGTTTTGAAAAAACTTGCTTACATAAGTATGCCGTCATCACTACGTCCGTGCTCGTCGAGAAATCGCTAGCAACCTAATTCATCTCTTCCCCAGTGTTGCTTAGTTACATGATGTTTCCTAAACAGTTTGATACTTGCAATCTACATATTCACCTGGTGTTCAGTCGTGCGTTGTTTGATGGATTATAAGATGTACTACTAAACTTGTGTTGATTATGCTTCATGAATTCCCTAACAATAAGATCATAGTAACAATACATAAGAAGGTCTAAAGTAGTGAATGAATCGTTCCATAACAAGAAAGAGGTGAAGATTATCGAAGGAAGCAAGAATTTACTCAAATCTGTAGGCCGCGCTGTCGCTGTACCAGCGCGGCGATCATATGTTGATGTTTTCAGATGACTCATGAAGGAATTTCAGGGCGGAGCGCGGAGCAAGGGGACGACATCGGGGAGTCGACGAGGTTCTCAACCGGCGAGCGGCTTCTACCATCTCGCGTCCGCCATGGGGGCGAGGCCCTGGCCACCAATGTCATATCCCACTGGGGTGTTCTACTTCTACATGCAGTTCTGTCTGAAGAATTCTTAGTCTTCATTCCTTGTATTGTTATATTCCATTGCTCGCTTGTATTTGCTCGTGTTTCACTTATTACCTATGTCGCTCTGTTTGCAGATAAATTAATTCTAATTGGTAGTTTCTCCACAGAAGTAGACGATAGGCACGCTCTGCTGTGCGCGCGAGCTTACTGGTAGCAGCGAGTGGTTCCCCCCTCGCTGTTTTGGTAAGTTAGTGGCCAGGTAGTTTTTTTTTNTTTTTTTTTAAGTGACTGGGCGCTTCTGGCAAGGATACGAATGGGCCCGTTCGTGTCCAGCTGCCAGCTGCGTTTTGTTTTCAGCGACTTCTTCGCCCCTCGAGTCGACTCTGGACAAGGAAAGAACCGTGATGGTGCAGCTGCCGTTCCCCTTTTGGAATCAACGGTAGTCAGCTAAGTTTTCGGCTCAGCTGCACAAGGTTTTTACGAGTCATGTGGTTACATCTGTGAGTGGGTTAAGTACGGTATTCCTTGTCATTGCGAACGGTTTTTTTTTAATTAAGGATCCTACCCACGACAGGGGTCTAAAACTGTCAGGCGCCGTAGTCTGAAGGAGAGGTTTCCTATAGGAAGGTAACGAGAGCGTAATTGCGGTGTTCGTCCCCAAGTTGTTTCGAGGTTGTGAGTAGTACCCTAGGGTGTGAGTTGTGAGGTAAGCCGCGTACCATTGCAGTTAGGTGATTGGTTGGACTAATTTGTGCGAAGTATAGTGTTCAGGGACGTTAAACTATATTGTCGGCGGCTCTAGGAAGTGTACACGGTAGGCCTACTAGTAGCAGTATTCAGTATGGTTTGGTTTGGTTGAAGTGTATCCCCGGGGAGGTGTATAATGTTAAAAGAAAAAAATTATAAAAACACAAAAAAAACATAATTATGGTTATTAGTTTTGTAGAAATAAGGTTGTCTTTCAGCCGGGTGGTACCTTTTACATGGGTTCCACTCTGGAGGACCCGAATGGTCCGTTTTCGAAATCAGCGTGCGAGTAATTCTCGCTTTCTCGCTAGTTGGAAGGTCCCCAACTGTAGCAAGAGTTTGTTTTTCGACCATCCCGTAAGATGCAGTTAGCGATAGTGAGTGGACATCGCCTGCTGGCAATCTCTGGCGTATTGTCATTGGCGGTGCGATCCTTTGACCACATATGGTGAGTCCATCGAGTGCGCCACGCAACTACTTACCGATCCAATGAAGGACGTAACCACCAGAATTAGGCCACGCCGCGTCTGTTTCTTGCCCTCTGGCACAAGGTAAGTATCGGTCTCCTAAGTCATAGTCTCCTCCCGTTTTTATCGGCCATTTGCTGCCCATCTTTGACGTTGCTACCTTTCTCTTTTATTACTCTCGTATTCCCTCCAGGTATCATAGCCAGTCGGATATCTTTCGTTATAATGGCTATCTCTGTTTTATACTTTCTCGCAATCACTCGACTATTTTTCCGATTAGATGCTTTCCTATTGAGCTTCTCACATGCTTTTCTTCACATACCATCTATTTGTGTCTTACAACATCACGTTCCGGCATCTTTAAGTCTTATATTTCATCTTTCATTACCGTAATAGGTGATGAGGCTTCCCAAATACCGGAACCAGCCCTTCTGACCACTGCCGGGCGTTTCTCTCATGCTCGCCACGTTTATAGTATTGGCGACATCCGCCAGCTGGCCCCGCATGTCAAGTGTCCGCCAAACTCGAATCCCGCCCTTCATGGCGCACGTAGTGTCATGAGTCTTCTCCTGGCTTCCCCGGTAGTTCCAGTTGCCCCTCTAGTTACTACTTTTAGATCCCGCCCCGCGCTCATCGCTCTCCCCAATGTTATCGCCTATGATGGAACTCTTGTAAGCGGCACGATCGCGCAGGCGCGCCTCTTCCTCCTCTCCAGGATGCGCTTTCCCTTGCCCAACATTCCGTTCATGTTCATAGCCGCGATAGGTACAGCCGTCCGAGCCCCCAGTAAGTCCTTATATAACGAGGACGAAGCCATCATCTGTCGCTATCTCATAGACCGACTGATCGGAGTAGGAATCCCCGCACAGAGCATATGCGTCATCGCTTTTCACAGGGAACAGTGCCGCCACGTGCATGAAGAGATGGGCGATCTTGGTTTCGAGCTCACGACGGTCGACTCAGTGCAGGGACGCGAGAAGGATGTGGTATTTTGTTGACCACTAAAACAAAATTTTCATAGGAGCCAGAGGGCGAATTTATAAACGACTACCGACGCCTGAACGTCGCCGTGACTCGGTCCCGACATGGCCAGTTT